CTTCCATGTCATAAAGGCTTAGTCATGTCTCTTGACCAAGCAATGAGCTGGTGCCCTGACACATCACCAACTGCTGCATTCAAATATGTGCATCAATGCTGAGCAGCAGATGCGCTGATCCAACCCAAGAGGTGTCCAAAATATCAGTCCAATGGGTGGTGTGTGAGAACTTGCTAGGGAAAGAGGGGAGAGATGGGGAAAGTCAGTACAAATGTGGGAGTCAGCCTGTAGCTGAGCTATCAGAAATTGGTCAGTAAATCGGAGCTCAGTGTCCGCCCAGTCAAGTCATGCTAAGTCAAATCAAGTACACTATGATGCTGCCTATCCAGTATGGGGATAATCAGATCCATATAATGCTAATGGAAAAGGGGCAGAATAAGCTAGATACAGGAGTTTCTGGAAACTACTTATACTAGCTACTCTAAACTAAACTCAATACTAATCCAGTCTCCAGATACCTCTCTGAGGCAGATGTTGGCATGCCGAATATCCAGGTGGGTCGATCCCATTGCGGAGGAAACCCGCAGTTGTCATGCCAAATATCTGGGTGGTCTCATTGCCTGGGGAATCCTGGTAGTCGCCATGCCAAATATCTGTGGGGGTCGAGACTCATTGCTGGGGTGTGTTGTCCTGTGTAGTGAGGGTCCATAGTGCTGCACAACGGTCTCTAAGGCCCGAAAATAGCTGTGGGAATACCGGCCTGACACACCCCACTGGAGGTGGGGTTGTTCAGTGCTTGGGGGAGGAGTGTGCATATTTGAAAATGCACTTTACAGGAGCAATCCCCCCTCAATCATTTGACAAGTGCACAAGGCTGCTGTGGATACAACCAGAAAGGGTTGATAGAGGATGTGTTAAGGGTCAAGAGAGTGAGGCCACCAGGCTGAGATATTGTGAGACTAGACTGACAGATATCGTCAAGTAACAGTGGTGTTGACAGAGGTCGAGAGAAGTATTGAGAGGAGCACTAGGATATCAAGAGCACAAGCTGACAGTATCACCCAGTTCACTGAAGTAGATAAGTTTGATGAGATACTGATGCCTACTTTGACTACACAAGTATTGTGGAGGATCCTAAGAGATCAGATCTAAGGACGAAATGATGAAAGGGGACAAGACTATCTATGATAGCCACGGAAGCAATCTAAAGAAGGTGGCTGAGAACTGTACAGCAGGGATTACCTTAGGGCAGGGTCCTAGGGTTGTTGGCAACCAACAATGTGGATGTCGCCCATGATGTGCTGTTCAACATCATTGACATGCTTGTACACAGGCCCGAGGACATGCCCTACCGTCGCTGGGGATGCGTGGGCGCAACCGCCAGTCGTGAGGACGGTATACCTGATGCGCACGCAGGATGCGACGGCATGGCTAACTCTGGGGGAGAATATGTGCGATGTACTCGTGTTGTTTTTTGGAGAAGAGGATAGTGGTGTCGACAAAGGTCAGGCCTGGGAGATCATGCATGAGACGTTCGGGACCCGGGCCTCAAAGCATTGGATCAAGGATGGGGGGCATTCACCAAATGTCGGGAAATTTTATCGTTTGCTGACAAGGCTATACTGGACAAGTAGAGAGCATGGCAGCTAGGGAATACTCAATTGCTACAGCGTTTAATGTTGTGTTGCGAATCTTATCGCCGATGCGGCTGTCATCTTACCACCGACCGCAACTCCCCGTCACAAGCTTACTACAGCTTTACCATATACCAAACGCTGCCAACCCAATAGCAACCATCCCCACTTTAATCCAGATCACGCCTAAACCTGGGAGTGAAGGAAGCGCCCCGCTCCCCTGTGGCCTGCTCGAGCTGCTCGGCACCACTGGACTCCCACTCACAGGTCCATTCGGGCTAATAGCGCGTGTGGTGCTCTGCGCACTCGTCCCTCCAGAAGTGGCTGTCGTATCCCCTGTCGGAGCCGCCCCGGTCTGTACAAGTATAGGAGCAGCATCTTCTTCCCACCGTGCACCACCGTCGAGGTTTGTACAACTTGCTAAGGGTGTGGATTGCCCGGGGGTCGTGGGGAGGAGTGTGCAGGATACGGCAAAGGATAGATCTGGAGCGCCAGTGAGGATGGCATCTTGGGCTCCTTCGACCAAGGTTACTATATTTATCGATTTCAGTTTGCTGCTTTGAACAGACAGAGATAGGGAACGGAAAGAAGATAGAGAACGGGAAGAGAGCGGAAGGAACGTACGCGTAGGGAACCCATCTGGCTGCCCAACCCAAGTGCCCGTCGGCTCCCCAGGTAAGATCTCCCATGTCGTCCTCCCATCCTCTCCCACACCGAGCTCGATAGCAGACAAAGGCTGAGGGTCAGTGTCGGGTATGTATAGGGAGAGTTGGGCTTGAGTGCCTGTGAAGCATTAGTGAGTGAAGTACTAGCTGATGGAGAGGGTTGTACTTCCTAGAAGTGCAAGAAGGAGGAGTAGCTTGCACATAATTATTGTTGAAGAGAGTGAAGTGAGGGTTGACAGTCCCTGGCTGCGTGCATCAGTTGTCCTCCGTCCACCATCCAAGGCAACATGGTCCTCGTACTCCTCATAGGCGACCTCCACATCCCCTACCGGTAAGTTCTCCCTCCCATTGCTCAACATTGATAACTCACAGTCCTGCGCAGAACACACGACCTCCCCACCAAATTCAAGAAACTACTCATACCGGGCAAGATACAACAGATCCTGTGCACGGGGAATGTCTGTGATCGGGAGACGCTCGAGTACCTGAGAGGGATCGCAGGGGAGGTACATGTCGTCAAAGGAGATTACGACGAGGTACGTCTCTTCCCTCCCAAAACAGAGCGCAACTCACTCGGAGTAGAACCCGGCCTTTCCTCTTTCCCTCATAGCGCAACACGGTCCAATCCGACTCGGCGTCCTACACGGACACCAAACCGTCCCCTTAGGGGACCAAGATGCTCTCTCTGCTCTCGCACGACAGATGGACGTCGACGTGCTCGTCTCTGGTGGCACGCACCAGTTCAGCGCAAAGGAGCATGAAGGGAGGTTCTTTGTCGATCCGGGCAGTGGGACGGGGGCTTGGGCAGGGTATTCGGAGAAGTAAGCACTGACTTTCGATGGATAAAGTCGTTGCTGATAAAGGACAGTGATGGGGTTCCGAGCTTTGCACTCATGGACATACAGGGAAGCGTGATCGTAACCTTTGTCTACCAGCTAATCGACGGCGAGGTGAGCCCACCCTCGTTGTCCTAACCCTCATGTGCTCACGCCTCCAGGTCCGGGTAGACAAGATCGAGTACCGTAAGGCTGCACCTGGACCTACTCCAACGGGAGGCATGTCAGGCATGACCAGCCCCAAGCCCACACCGCCGCGAGGTGCAGAGAGTGTCTGGAGCGGAGCGTGAGCCAAGGCATCACCAGCAGAGTGGGGTGACCACGGGATCTCTTTATGGGTGGAAAGCAGACGAGTGTGAGTACGCGGAGGAAGGATAGAGGTGCGATGATGTTTCTATTCGTACCTGCATACATGCGTCCAAACGTGTTATGCGTCCCATCCCAGCTGTCCCATGTACCGTACACAGTTCTGCCAACTCTGTCCGTGCTCGTCGGCCCCAATCTCAGCTCTGCCGTCGTCCAGATGCAGAAAGTCAGTGTCTTGCTTCTGCAGGCTCTGCCTCTATTAGAGGGTTCTCTTCTCTCGCTTGTTGGAGCAGGTCGTCTAGTCCTTTTTCTGTCAGAGCGCCCTAAGCACGAGTCAGTCCTAGGTTCCTTGATGAGAAAAAGAGACACACATCCAAACACGCCCTATACCCGTCCCACACTTTCCCACACGTCCTCTCATACTCGTCCCTCTTATCCCTCTGCCACTGTCTTTGCGCTTCCTCGCTCTCCGAGTTGCCCCCCGGTGGCGGTTGTAGGTATCCCTCGAACCATTTGTTGAAGCAAGCGTCGTACTTGTGTTTAAGAGGTGTGCATTGTGGTTTGAGGGAGTGGGCCATAGGGTGCGGAGAGTGGGGGGATGAGCTGAGTGCGGGGTGTACATTAACTGCTCGTTATAAGGGAAGTGTCTCCTAATACGGACAGAGCCGGGACGCCTAACTCCGACGGCACACGTCATCGGAGATAACGGAATACATATTAATGACGGAATTACGTATACCCATATATATTTGCAGCCGAGAGCACATTTTGCCTGCCCTACTGCCAGGTTTGAAACTTACTGTATATAATTACATCGGAGCACGTTTTTTGCACCTTCCTCGGTTTCCTTTCACCTGCGGCGTTATCAGAGTGATCACGTTGTGTTGTGAAACCATTCTACCATTACTCGTCCCTAGCTGCTGGTGAACAACGCAGATGAAAGGTCGAAAACCTGTGCAATCGAGGCATGTGAACACATTTTAACTGAATCAAGCAAAGAAATCCGTTTCGTACTGCTTTAGTTTTAGTGAATGCCTTTAAAATAGTCAACATAATTCCATTCAGAATCATTCAACGTGCCATCAGAGAGCCGGACGCGAGTGTATCGCTGGCAGTTTCCTAAGGAGTTTCGGCGTCTTTCACCCTATTTGAGTTTCTATATTTGCATCGATGCTTATTAGGTTTTTGGGACCCAGTGCAAATTGCGTGAAACCTGTTACATCCACCAAACTGATGGCTTACTAAAGGGCCAAATTTGGGTTTTGAGTACCGTTCACCGAGACAGAAGAGGTTATAATTCTGATATAGAAAGGCCTTTCTTGCCAAATGTGGTTGTATCGGAGGGGGTGACTCCTTTTGGTGTAGTTGACCTGTGTGTGTGTACACAGCCACTAACTCCTGATATGGGCGTTGAAAAGACGCGTTTATCAACGGCGGAATTCATTTGAGAGCAACAGCTCATCCATACCCCTCACCTCTTCACCACCACCACCGCCCTCTCCCTTCTCCCCGCCGTCCCCCCCCCCCTCCCAACAACAACATACCCAACATTCTACACTCGACAGCGACGGAGTACCTCACGTATCTCCGCACAGAGTCACGGAACATCATCCGGGCATGACAACACCTCGTGTGCCTCCACCTCAGTTGCAGACCGACATCGACATACCCGAGGCGGTCACTCCTCCCCTGAGTGACGACGGGGGAAATAATAACGACGGTCCACTCAGCGCCCCTGCAAGTCCTTTATGGCGCCGCCGAAGACTTGAACATCTGGGCCATGTCCGTACTGGCTCTCTGGGTGCCGGGGATGACCTCCTATCCGCCAGCGGTGCCTTTAGACAGCGCCCTGCTACAAGCTATGGTAGCTTCCCTTCCCCTATATCGAAGAGGTCCACACGTTCTCGCAAGCGAGTCTTCACTCTCCCTCACCTGTCCACCGCGCTTGGCATCAACAGTCCCTCACGAGATGTCCTCACGAGCCCTAGGGAGGAAGAACCGCTTCTCCGGGGAAGGGAAATCAACTTCTTTGGCAGCATTAGGCGACCTCCGTCCGCTTATGACGCCGACTGGACAGTGCAGAATATTAGCTCGATCAGTGAAGAAGGGGCAAAGGCAAACGGCATACGCGTTTGGTACGCGTCTTTCTCCTCCGTGGATTGGCTACATGACGCAGTACGTATATGCGCGTCTATGCGATGGAGAACTGACAGTTGAACAGATCAAAGACTCTATGCGGCTGCTCCGTCTCCGCCGTCGTCACTCCGTCCGCGGACGCGTGCTCAACAACCTCGATCGTTTCGTCGGCTGGCTCATCGTCACCCTCGTCGGCGCACTGACAGCCTGCGTCGCCTGGCTCATCATTCGCAGTGAATCCTGGCTCTTCGATCTCAAGGAGGGATATTGTTCCGATGGGTGGTGGAAGGCGAGGAGGTTCTGCTGCCCGTTCATGGACGAGGATCGTTCTGCCTTGGTGGGAGTGGCGGAGGATGACCAGTGTCCCGCGTGGTTACCATGGATGGAAGCGTTGGGTCCGGCTTGGGAGATCGGGAATCGCTGGATTGGCTTGGAACGCTGGTCTGGGGAATATATCGCATACACTGTCATGGCTGTACGTCGCCTCTCCGTTTCGTGACCCTTGGTTGACCTCGAGTAGTGCCTTCTGTCCCTTCTCTCTTGCCTTCTCACCATCTATCTCACAAAATCCACGACGTTCGTCACGAGCAAGGACTCGGGGCTGTATTCCGCCACTTTCGATAAGGCAGGGAGTACCCCACAGCTTGACGGCTTGCCTTCCAAGCACCTGAGCAGGACTGGAGAAGGCCACCTGGATGTCATGCCGAGGAAAGTAATGTACTTCGTAAGCCTCCCTCACATGCTTGCTGGCCCGTCCTCACCTTAGATAGGCGTCAGGAAGCGGCATACCCGAAATAAAAACTATCCTGTCGGGATTCGTCATCCACGGATACCTCGGTGGGCGTGTGCTGTTCACGAAATCCCTCGGACTTGCACTCTCTGTCGGATCCGGATTGTCTTTAGGCAAGGAAGGACCATTTGTTCACATCGCTTGCTGTGTGGGTAACATCATCAGTCGCTTTTTCCAGAAGTACGAGACGAATGAAGGTGGGCCTATACGTGCCATAAGAGGATCCAGCTTACCCGTTGGTAGGTAGACGGCGCGAGATCCTCAGTGCGGCCAGTGCGGCTGGCGTCGCCGTCGCCTTCGGTGCTCCTATCGGTGGCGTGCTCTTCTCTCTGGAAGAAGTCTCATACTACTTCCCGCCTAAAGTCATGTGGCGCAGTTTCTTCTGTGCTATGATCGCCGCCGTCACGCTCAAGTTCCTCGACCCTTTCGGAACCGGCAAACTCGTACTGTTCAAAGTGACGTACGACAAGGACTGGCACTACCTCGAGCTACCGGTATTTGCCCTTCTCGGTGTGTTCGGTGGTGTTTACGGCGCCTATTTCTCCAAGCTTAACTACCGATGGAGCAAGCACATTCGCAACAAGACGTGGCTGAAAACGCATCCTGCTGCCGAAGTTCTCCTTGTGACACTCCTTACAGCGGGCACATGTTTCCTCAACCGCTACACGCGCATGGGCGGTCCAGAACTCGTCTACAATCTCTTTGCGGAATGCTCCTCCGAGAAGGGGCACGAGGGCCTCTGTGTGCGCGAGCGGGAGGAAGTAAACGCAGTCCTCAGCGCTATAGGCGTGACGCTGCTTGTCAAGGGCGCGCTGACCATCATCACCTTTGGGATCAAAGTGCCTGCGGGAATATTCATACCCACCCTCGGCGTCGGCGCGTGCTTTGGAAGGATCGTGGGATTGGCATTGCAGACCCTTCAAGCGCAGAGACCGGATCTTCCCGTTTTTGGGTTCTGTAAACAGGGGGAGGACTGTATCATCCCTGGGGTATATGCTATGGTCGGAGCGGCTGCTACACTATCCGGTGTGACGGTCAGTCTTCCCTCATATTTTGACCAGTCGGGAATTGACAACGAGGGTAGCGCACGACGGTATCTCTGGCTGTCATCATGTTCGAGCTGACGGACAGCCTGACATACACCCTCCCGGTCAGCTTGGCGGTGCTGGTGGCAAAGACGATCGCAGATCGCATTGAACCGAAAGGAATTTATGATCTGGTCATCGAGTACGGGCGCTCTTCTTTGTTAGCAGACCCATGCTCACTGCCTTGCAGCCTCAATAACCTCCCATACCTGGACGCTAAGCGTCAATATATTTGGGGCGCACTCATGGTTACGGATGTCACAAACCGAAAGGTGGACGTCATTCGCACTGTGCAGGACAACACGGTCAAGTCCCTCCGCGATAAACTTATCAGCGCTGTCAATGCAGGGAATGGGGATTCCGGGTTCCCAATCTTGGCTCACGCTGAGGACGGCGAAAAGATGATTGGATATATCGGAGCGAACGAGCTAGAGCATGCCCTCTGTGAGTCGCTTGCAGCCCTTGTTTCCTACATGACTGAACATGGTACAGCGATTGTTGCCGAGAATCCGGACGCTTCCTGTCATTTTCACCATACGACATCACACGATCTCCTAAATCTGTCAATTTCTTCCTTGTACAATACACCTCTTCCACAAGACCTATATGACCTGTCGATCTACATGGACCAGGCTCCATTGACGGTAGCGGCGCATGCTCCGCTGGAGCTTGTTCAACAGCTGTTTGTCAAGCTCGGTGCCAAATATGTGGTCGTTGTGAATGATGATGGCACTTGTAAGCTTGTCGTCTGCCTTCTAACCCATACGTCCCTTAAACTCTTCCTAGATCAAGGTGTAATTGACAGGAAGACCTGGCTGCAATTTCTTCACCGGCTTGAGGAAAAGGAATGATTTATTTCGTTTCCACCACACTTTTACGATACCCCGGATGCATTTCGGCATGATCTTGGAATGAATTTACATGTCGCGGTTTTCTTCTTGCCCTTACATTATTTCGCATTCGGATTTCGGATTCTACAGGCTGGATTGGATGGATATTACTTACACGGTTGCATGATGTATAATACACAATGCATATTTTCTTCCCCTGTTCGTCTATGTGTGATTATATCATCATTTACGTTACAATCATAAGTATCATCGGTATGAGATCACCATCCTCTGTGTCATGCCGTTATCTACCTTATACATATTTGCAAACGACTTTCACCTCCAATCAGAATTAAAGCTCCAGCCAGAGTCATCGTCCTCAGTACGCTGAGGAGTGCAAAACATTCCCCCAGTGAATCGCTGGTACCTATCCCGAATTCCGGCCATCGGGCGGCACATGCCAGCACGTAATTTGCGCTTTTTGAGTCTGGGATTCTGGCGGTAACTGGTAGGTTGTGGCACTTCGTGATAAACAGGAGTCTGGTAAGGGTAGCCATGCGGTACGAGCGGTGAGAACTGGACTGGCGCTGTTCGTGAAACCGTAGGTGGGCGAGATGGGGTTCGGTAACGTGCGTGATTGCGCGCAAACGCATCATGGCAGGATTGCACAACACGTCAGAGTAGGGCGGTGTAATGGTCAAGCCAAGCATAGTGCACTCCTCCATACCAGTCGAAGTGCCCTGGCCATTCGGCAAAACCACGGGCCCAAGATACATATGCTGCGAGCGTGCTACGAATCAAGCATCTGGTCAGACACTCATTTCAGCTAGTAAATCAAAGAGACCTACTTTGCTTCCCAGCTCCCCACTTGGCACAGGTTAGTCGGCGTCAAGTATTTCGGATCCAAAATCTTCACAGGAGTCTCCACCAAGTCTTTAAGCGGCTTCAGCATTTCGCGACAATGTTGACCATCCGACACCTGTACCTGGGTGTCAGCGTACGGGAGATGGCGCGGACGTAGATACTTACCTGCATGACATACCAAGCACTCTCAATAGCATTGCGCAAGTCATGAATTGGGTCTCTCCCAGGAATCGCCTGGACAGCATCCTCTAGATCCTGGAGCATTGAGGACCAGATGTTCTCAGCTGCCGGATCCGCCCTTGAGTAATTACCGAACATATCAGGCTGGGCTAGTGGAGCTGCCGATGTAACAACGACGGGGGAAGGGGCTGCAGCCGGCGCAACGGGAGGGGTTGTCGGCGGAGTCCAAGGAACGTATCGAAATGTGACAGGCTCCTCCCATGGCTTCTTGAACACGCCACAGCGGTGATTAGGTGCCCATGTGTTGTTGCATCTCTGGCACATGTGCGTGTGGGAAGGTACTTCCTCCCGTGTGTACGGTTGGGGTGCGGAGAAGGGTAGACCAGCGGCAGGATGGTTACCACTACGAGCGTCGGCCTTAAAGGTACAGGTTGAGAGGCCGGAGGAGCTGGAGCAGGAATCGATGGGGGGTTAGGCGGATGCGCATGAACCTGCTCCAACCCAACCCTTGGCTGGGGGATCTAAGGGGGGGTTGGTGGATGCGCATAAACCCGTTCCAACACTACCCTCGGCTGTGGGATCGATGGGGGGAGTGGCGGATGAGCATGAACCTGCTCCAACACAACCCTCGGCTGTGGGACCGCGGGTTGCTCTGCAAGCGCGGCGGCAGACTGAATTGATGAAGTGGGCTGGGTTTGGGCCGTAAATCGTGTCTGGTTTGGTTCGTGTGAAATCCGCGAGGGAACCGGACCGTCGTAGTCTTCCGAGGTCATATCACGCGGCGAGGCTGGGATAGGAGTAACGTAGTTTGTTGAGGCAATACCCGATAGACGCAAGAACGCAGTTGGATCTATACGACTGACTGCCTCCAATATGGCCGGCAGCGAGGACGGGAGGAATCGTTCGCGGTGTTCGGCTTCCGCCATGCTCGGCTGTTGATGGGAGCGCCCTTCGCGTCCGTCGACATGGGTTGCACGCCCACTCGCTGGAAAGGCATTGCGCGAACCGTGTTCGGACATGAAGGCACAGGAAGACGCCTTAGACCAGCTAAGACAAAAAGCGGACTGGTAGACTTGGCCGGAACGAGAACACTGATAGAAATTCCATCGATATCGATGATTTTAAGTACACAAGCAAGAGGACAATTGGTGTCAGTGGGTAACTCAGTGGTACTACCCTGCCGAGGTGTTCACCACATCGGCCTTTGCTGGGCTAGTCGGAGATCCAAATATTGTTAAGCGGGTAGCCTCAAGGAATGGCACAATATTTTGAGACACAGTCAAGTCCAGCAGAAACAATCAGTTGCTAAGCGCGTCCAGAGGAGTATGGACCAACTGAACGGACAGCCCTTGTTTTGCGCGTCAAAGAGGCCCTGGCCCCTAGATATGCGGATGAGACCCACGGATGGTCTCATCTGAAGCAAATTTCTATTTTTCTATTTTGCTTCAGTTTAGAGCGGTGCTCAAATCTTAATTCCATATGGGTTACCGGCTATCTGCTTACTCACTCACTGTGTACATTGTATTTGTAGGTCAAATAAGACATGTGAGGTATCATACTGATTGGAGTAATGTGATCACATCCACTGGAGTTATAAGCTGGTTGTCCTTATTGGAGTAATGTGATCATGCATGCTGGAACAGCAAGCAAGAAGTACTATGAAAGAGTGTGTATTTGATTGTGACTTTACAAAATGAATGACAACAATTGGCAAGACACAAGACGTAAACTACCTCATACTCCTTCAAGACTCTGCCCATGAATTGATAACCTTGAGGAGCACATCAATGGGGTTGACACCACATGCAATGGCAATGATAGACACAACTAGAGAATGTTTTAGTGAGGAGCAAATGAATCAGATGAAAGACACTCACAAGTAAATGCCAGCCACTTATATTTGTGCTTGACCATGGCATCATTATACTCTTTTGAGTTGAAGATGTGGGACAACACCCACACCAACCACCTGAGCACAATCATCATTCCTGTCCAAAACCATCCACCCCAAGAACGACTCTTCTTCAACTCCTTCAGCTTCTCTGCCTTCTCCCTGGCTGCTTCTGCCTCCCATCCATCCTCGAACCCATCAGCATGGCCACAAAATTTGTCCCACACAAGCAAGCCAGCAGCAGCATGCTGGCCACTTGTCCTTGTGCATCAAGCCCTGCTTCTCAGGTGCCTTGGCAGTCTTAGCCTAGAAAGAAGAGTCAGCTGGCTTGATGACCAGACACAATCACATTACTCCAATGATTGCAGTACCTGCCATAGGGCAGATGCAATCACATTACTCCAATGATTGCCATCTCCCTATTGCAGGACATGCAAAGACAGGCAATGTCATCACAATATTGAAAGAACTCACCTTACTGGCCTTGCCCTCCTCCATGTCAGACAGCTCATGTCCAACCTCCTCCTCCTTGGCTGCCGCCACACCAGCCACCATGAAGTGTTGACTGCACATGCACAATATGGTCAACACTCTGTGCTCAGCCGGCATGAGGCAATACCAGCCCAGGCCAGCATTGTCCCCCCACCTTCTCCATCCCCCGCAGTCTCTGCCGTATCCACTAAGGAAACCCCCCCCCCCCACTACTTGCTGTTGGGCTCTTGCTGGCCTTGTAAATGCCTTTCAACAAGGTGTCATTGAGCTGCAGCAGCATTGATTTGGGGTTGTTGTCCCCCAAACCTCCGTCACTTTGTGCCAATCTGCTTTCACTCATGTTGATGGTGGGGAGAAAGAAAGAGAGGAACTGGTTGTGGGAGGTCAGCTATAGTGCAAAGCAGCCATGAGGCTGGGTTTGCATACCTAAAAGGCTTTGTGCACCTTCTTCCCCTATTCACACCCCTGATCAGGAGAAGCTGCTCCTGCCTTCCTTTCCCCTGATGGGCTGTGCTCTTTGCAGCATGCCACACAGATTTTCGGAGTTCAACAAAGTCAACAGTTAGGATATTGTTGACATTAATGCAGTCTGCAGGGCTGTGAAAATGAAGAGAGTCCCCATAACATTAGAGTGTAGCAAAGAGGAGGAGAGGAAAGTTGCATGGTCCCTGATGAGTGTAACACATGGCTGGTGCATGAGGGAGTCAGCCTGTTATGGCAAGGTATCACGTGTAGCACTGCCTTCTTCAGCCCCATTATTGATGGATGCAGTCACCCCTCTTTCTCTCCCAAATGACCATCTACAAGAAGTTAACCAGACAAAGACAATAACTGTATGTCTCATTAATTCTGAGTTCCATCATTGCTTGTAGCTGACCTGTAGTCAGCTTCCTAAAGGACAAGTATGACTCCAGATTTGTTGGAGTATCTCACTGCTGCTGGCATCAACTGCAGCAGTGGTGGGTTTGAGGGAGGAGGGGGAGCAGGAGGCAGCACAGTGGGACATGCCGGACGTGATCACATTACTCCAATCAACATCAACAATGGCAGCAGCAGAGTGGCAGCAGCAGCAGAAGAAGGCAGTCTTGCAGGACATACCAAATGTGATCACATTACTCCAATCAACATCAATGATGGCAGCGGCAGAGCAGCTGCTGCAGCAGAAGGAGGTGGTCTTGCAGGACATGCCGAATGGAATCACATTACTCCAATCAACATTGACAAGCAACCTCGCTTGGAGATGAGAAAGCCCTCCCATGTCTGTAGCAACAAAGCTGCTGCTGATGACATCATCTGCCTTTTCTTGCTCTTGGAGGCTTATCCCAAGCAGTCTAAGCTGCTGCCCCCACCCATTCCTTGCACCTCCAAGCAGCATGCAACTGAGACTGATGAGTTTGCTCACCTTCATCCTCACCCTTGCATTGTTGTGGCAAAATTGGCATCCATGCCTGTCACATCTTCAGCTGTCTATATCAACAGCTACGCAGAGGGTTTCAAACATGGTGTTCAGGCTTGTCAAGCTTACACCAATCTACCCCAGAAGTATGAAGAAATTGGGCAGAACTATGTGAATGGACTGTATCTTAGTTGGCAGAAGTGGTGGAATGGGTTCACTTCAGACTATGCACCCATGTTGGCTTCAGACTATGCACCCATATCCACCATCATTGACACCTACGATGTGTAGGTCAAGGTTCTTGCAGGACTTATGTCCCTCAATTTGGTTCCCCAATTACCGATCTAACTGCCTATGCTCTTTATTTCCCACCTCTCTGTATTCCTGCTATGCCCTTCACATCCTTGTACTCCATGCTCCTTATCAATAGTTTGTGCTACCACAGCCAAATACTTAGGCAAATTCACTTGTTTATCAGACTACTTCCTCTCTCCTAAGCTACCTAATCCAAAAGATCCTCCACCGCTTGCATAATGCCATTTGACATTGATTCATCTGACTCATGTTCATCATCATCTTTGCTATCATCCTCACAATTGAATCACCCCATAATGTCCGCATCCTCATCATACTCTTCTTCCCATCCCTGATTGTCTCCCCCAAATGATAGATCCATATACTGATGAGACAAGGTAAGGTCATGTGCTTGCTGTGCCACAAGAGTTGTCATAAGCCTTTCACAATCTTCAATTTACTCCAATCACTCCTTCAGCTCTCAATAGATAGTCCAGAAGGTTTGTAGCATGATGGTAGGACTCCCCATATCTACAACCCATCCATCAGTCAATGACATGCAATCCTCGATATGACGGCTTACCAAAATAGCAGCTCTCAATTGCCCACTTGAAGAAGGTAGGAACTAGCTTGAAGACTTCATGCTCAGGAGGTGCATACAGTTGTTCAACTTCCTGTAATTCATCTTCACTAACTGATACCTGTGAATACAGTCAGCCCTGTCTCAAATTGAAGGATCAGTGATTTACCTTGAAGCTTAGTGCACCATACCTCTTTGGATGATGTAGCGCCAGCTCAGGGATTGCTGTAGGGAGTAACTTCTTCCTGTCCTTGCACGGCTTGCTAGTATTATGCATGAAGCAATACTCATCCAGCTTGGACTGCATGAAAGGTATTGCCAGTGTCAGGGGACATCTAATTTGCTTTGACTACAGCTTACTCAGGCATGATTACTCATGCTGCATCAACCTGACACCAGCTATGCCAGTGCTGTGTGGCCTGTGGACTGCCTCTGGTAGGACCATGTGGCACTGTGCAGCATGACAGCCAGTGACTAGCCACCAGCCAGTGACTCATAGTGACAAGGCCTATGACTCACCACAACTGGCCAGAGATGACTGGCCATGACTCACTATGACTAGACATTTTCCTCCTTCTCTTGAGTATAAATACCCACCTGTTTAAACAATGATATCCTCAGATCTGGTCTCTGAGGAATCTCCACTGTACTTCAATAGGGATAGTACTCTGCAGAATATACCTCTGTCACCTCATGTTAAGGCAACACAGGCTGACTAAGTCTGCTCACCTAAGAGTGCCAAGAGTCTAAGCAGGCAACAAGGAAGTGGAGTAGACCTGATGACTAAGACCTATCTACAGTATAGGTACCTGTGGATGATCCTAAGAGACCAAGTCTGAAGAGACAGTCCCCAGGCAGAGTAGGCCTTATATTTATACCTCTGTGGTGGAACCTGCTAGAACATCTTGCTTACTCAGCCTAGTCAGGTGATCAGGTCATATGACCAAGGATGAGGTCATATGAGGTCATGCACAGCCATGCACAGCAGGTCACCTGACCATCCAATCCTTCCAGCAGGTTCCAGCACATGCCAAGGTATACCAGCTACTTCCATGTCATAAAGGCTTAGTCATGTCTCTTGACCAAGCAATGAGCTGGTGCCCTGACATCCACCCCCCCTTCTAGACATGCTGTC